GGCTTGGGGCTGCGCAGCACGTGAGTTCCGAGCAAAACAAGCCGAGGCCGTAGGTTTCTCTTCTCCTAATGCTGCGGATCTGGACGCCTGTAAAAGCTGGAGACTGACCCAGGAAAGTGAGTCTCGGGCAGAGTATTATTAAACACTGGGTGACTTGACTGTAGGCTAGAAGCAGTGTGTGACTTCTTTCCATCACTAAACCCTCCTGGCTTTTGAACTGAAGTGAGAAGAGATTGCAAAAGGCTTTTTTTTTTTAATTGATGCTGTAGCAGTGAGCGCAGGTGGAGCAGCAACCCTCCTCTCTGCCGGTCCCCCTCTTTCACCTCTCCCTTCCCCTGGGGTGCTGCTGTGGCACAATAAATTGAAATAATGCTGTTGTGACATACTGTGTACTACCAAGGTTCTTCAGCATGGGTTCTTCAGCATAACTTAAAATTATTTTGTCAGCGTAGCCCTGACAAGGGAAGTGGCAGGTATGTGCAGGCTTTGTTCTTGCGGAGCACTTTGTGAGTCAGCCTGTGCCTATGCACCCGTGACACCAGCAAAGCGCCTTTTGCATGGGTCTGGAAACCTCTGCTTGGGTTTGGCTCTTTCTGCATTGTGTATCACTTCATCTCTTTCCCAGCTAAAACCCTGCAGCTCCTCTTTGAGGCAGGCTTGGGAGTCAGGTGCCTGCCATACAAGAAATGCCGGTTTTTCTGGCCCAGCTGGCCTCTCTATTTTCTTCACTGATACCCGAGCCCTTCAGCACTGCAGCTGGGATCCTTTCTGCTGCAAAGCTAGAAGGGATGTACCTTGCCTTAAACCCTTGCTTAGCTCCATCCTCTTTGTCCTCTCTGAACCTTCAGAGCTCTCCCTGTTTTCTTGGAAGAGCAAGCCTAGGAGGCTGGAGAGGACAGCGATGGGCAGCAAAGCTGTGCCTGGCTTTGGAGATGTGTGCTCCCATAGTGGGGAGGAAGGGCTCTCGGGCTCCCCGTTGGGAGAGTGTGGGGCTGGGGGAGCTGGGCTTGGTGTCAAAGGAGTATACCCACGGGTGCTTTCTGTGGGAATGTCTTCCCTCTTCTCACTGAAGACTGACATTAGTAAACACTTTCCAGTATCTTGGAGGTGAATCAAGAATGTTGTTCCCTTCTAGAAGGAACTTCTTATCAGAGATAAGGCTTTTTTTTCCTTTTCATGCATGCTTTGCCTAACCAGAGCTCCCAACTTTCTAAGCTTATTGCTTACTCTTAAGTTTAAATTTTTAATGTCTGCTGCAATGTGTGGTATTTCTGTCCTCATCTTACTTTTGTAGAGCTTTTTTATTAGTTAAATTGTCTTCAAGCGAGAGAAGGAAGAGCTGAGAAGCACACTCTCTCCAGCTGTCTGGTTTGTCCTAGTTTTTGGGGGGTTTTTTGCATGCAAGGTGACCCTAGGTTTTTCTTTTTAAAGAAGGGAGGATTCAGTGTGTTCAAAGCAAACTTAGCTTATGCAATTTGCAAACTTACCAGCATGCAATTCCCTCTTTCTTGCAAGACTGTTCTGATGCCTTCTACCAGATGCTTCATCCAGAAGCTAACTTAGACACACAATGACTTGCTGCAAATGGACACTGATGTTAAGAGGAACCTGGAGACATACAGGCAGGGGTGATAACAAAATAAAACTAAATATTATCTAAAACTTGACTGCATTGTTCCAGATCAGCACACAGCAATGTTGCTATTTCACCAGCCTGTATTTTCCTCTTCCTGTCAGTGCAGTAACTTACTGGACTGATTTTACCCTGTTTAGAAAAAGTGCTCTTTCTTGCAAAACTCTGTACTGTGGTACACTGACCTCTTAGCAGTCTGTTTAATATGCTAGAGCTTTCAGATGGCCTTACAAGGTGCTTTTTCTTGTGGTACACTTGTCCTTCAGTGTGAAGGTGTAAGATCACTAAGCCACACAATGCCATTGCAGTCACCCAGAATAGAACAGTGGGTGGAGGGGTCAGTGGAAATACTGATGCTTGGCACTTCAGTAAACCTTGGGTATTTTCAGAAAAGAACAAGCATGGCATTGTTCTCATATGGCATTGTAGCTTAATATGTAAACTCATCTGTTGACGAGATGCCTCATGTCAGGAACTAAGTTTGTTCTTGTTTTGGTATCCGCATCCTTTTATGCTGTTTGTCACCGCCTTTTTAAATAACAGAGCTGCATCCCGTGTTTATCTCTGTTACTAACGCAACAGTGAGTGTATTAATTGGTATTATTTAACCAGGCTTACTTTTTCTTACAGCTTGCAGGGACAGCAGTTCTTGCAATTGGACTATGGCTTCGGTTTGATTCGCAGACCAAAAGCATCTTTGAACTGGAATCCAACAACACTACTTTTTACACAGGTAAGCTAGGAGATGGCTGGGGGTGATAGATTCCTGACTGCTTAGAAACCTTCCTCTTCCTCAAAGACTAAAGACAAAACTGCCTGTGTGGGGCAGAGAGCAGCTGCCCCTGGCTGGTGTAGGGGCCAGCCTCTGTTGTGAGCTCCTGTGCAGACAGCAGCAGTGTCCTGCCAGCAGTTTCTTGGCTTTTTATACTTTTTGTACATCATTTTGTCTTTTTCCCAGCTTAAACCCTGCAGTTCCTCTTTGGGTGCTGTTGGGTAAGCGTCTTGTAATCCCAGGGGCTCCTGGTAGACACAGAGGATGTCTCTTCCTGATGTTTCTCACAATATGAGTCAGCAAAGTTTCATTCTAAATAAGTAGTTGTTGATGTCATCTGTGACTAATTTTTTTGTTCCAAAGTGACTACCCAAAACCACAGCTCTATCCCCTCATCTGTCCGAAGGGGCGTATGTACTATTGTCTAACCCTTATAGCCCTATGTAGGCTAATTTATACTCTGTACTGGAAAGGTTGCACAAATATCTTGGTCTGCATGAGCAACTATTACAGGCAATGTAGATCAATGCAGCTTTAGGCCAGGTGGAAGTTATTTCTCAATATAGTCTTTTTTGTAAGATTACCAATTAGGGGACAAAACCACATGTTGTTCAGTTTGTTATTCTAATGTTGTAGGAGTTCTGAACTGAAGAGGATTTTATCCTAACTAGGATTTTGATCTCTGCAGTCACTTTCAGGCTTGGGCAGAGGAACATATGCTTCTCTGTCATCTGTAGGTGCTCAAACTCTTTTTGAAACCAGGTAGCTAAGTTTGAAGACAACTGGGAACAAAGCAAATTTAAATATGCATCTCTTAACTACACGTCTGTCATCTTTCATCTGGACAATCCTTATACCTACATTTCACATCACTGTAGCACCTGGATTTGCTGTCTCCTGTATGACATTGCTCGGTAGCTATCCCCAGCGTGTGGTCGGCCTTTCTCTTGCCAAGGACAGCAGCTCTTCTGCTGAGCTACTCGGTCTGTCACAACACCCAAAATGGCCTCTAAAGGGTCAGTAAAGACTCTGTAAGGCACACTGGGAGGTGCAACTTACGTTGCAGCCTTGTAATACCAGTGTAGCCTGTGCTTACAGGGACTACTATTGGGAATGATGAGTTAGGCTTCTTAGAGACCATAGTTGGGTCTGTGACTTCAGGAAGAGGCCCAGGCATACAGACAGCTTATCTGGGAGAAAGTTTGTATTTCACCCTTGATATGCTGGCATGGTAGCAAACTGGGTGGTTCTTGCAGCTGCCAGGAAGATTTCCAGATGCTTTTAACTGGACCTTGGAAAGGGAACAGAAATCTAAACTTGGCCATTGAGCTGAATATTTAACGAAGTCTTATTTCGGTTAGTCTAAAACAACTCTTCAGCCCCCTAAACATAAAAGTTTTATGATGTGATACTTAAGCTACTGTCTGAATGCAGCCAGTGAAACCTACTTGAAATCTCTGTAGGTTAAACTGAGTTTTAAAAAGAAATTTAATAGGAATTCCTGTGTAACATGTTTCTGGGAGTAGTAACTGACTGTAGTTTCCAATAGGAAATTGAAAGAATCTGTCAACTTGCACCTAGTAACAAAGCAAGTTACTTCAGAAGCTTTCTATACTACTGGAATAAGAGGATCTGATGAACTCTTTTTTTCAAAATGGAAAAACTTTAAGCTGGGGTAAAAAACTTGGTGCCAGCACTTCCTGTTGATAAGAAATGTCATGCTTAATCACTTACATATGCTTAATCACGTAGATATTTTGGCAGCTAATCTTACTGGTTTGCATCTAGACAATATCATTTGCAAATGCTTATATATGGCTGGCTTTAAATAGTATTGATTGGGCTTCTGAAGGCCAGAACTGTATTTTTGTATCTATTGATAGAAATGTCATACTAATTTGAAATGCTTTGTGCTGATTCTTTGTCTCATGTTTCACCACCCTGATAATATTTTCTTGCTACCCTTTGGGAGTTCTTTACTTGCTACATCTTGCTGCTCTCAGCAGCTAGTAGCAGCTGTAATGCTTAAGCTGGCAGTTCTCAAGCTTAGGAGAAGAGGATTAGGCATAAATGGAGTTTCTTAGCCCAGAAATATTTGCCCTCTATGTTCCAACACTTGCTACCTAAATTCTGGGCAGAATGGTCTACAGGCTCAGCCATTTGATACAGTTTGAAGAAGTATCCGCTTCTGCAAAAGCAGAAAATGCTGAGTTTCTTGTAGTTAGAGAGGCTGTCAAGTTAGGCAGCTGAAGTATAGACTTGTACCACCATGACTAGTAGAATAATTCAGTGTTTCTTGATGGAAGAGCAGTGTAGGAAAGCATTTAAAGCCGTATGACAGATTATTATGATGCCTTTTAATACCCATTCTCCTAGAGGTAGCAGGCTTCAAGGATTCTTAGATGTTGATAAATCAGTAGCTCCAGCTGTCTAACTGCAACAGACTCTTCATCTGTTGATAACTCTGGCTCTGAGCCAGTTTTAAAATGTCTTAGATGGCTTACAGTTTGTCTTAGATGGCTTTATCTTGCCTGTTTTCTAAAACTTGTAGAACTGCAGTAGTGGTAAACATTGTTATAAGTTGAAATTTTTATTTATCAATACATTTCCCCACAAGTTTTTAGAGGGGTTTGCTTGCACAGCTCTCTTTTTCTTTGGAACACCTCAGTAAAGAATCTTAAACCTTGGCAAAAAGCTGTAAATGCTGTTTGTAGAGCAGCTAACTTCATACCTTGCTGCTGAGGTCTCAGCTAGCCTATTACATGTGTCTTGTTTTTTCCTCCCTAGGAGTTTACATTCTTATTGGAGCTGGTGCACTTATGATGCTGGTTGGTTTCTTGGGATGCTGTGGTGCATTGCAGGAATCTCAATGTATGCTTGGCCTGGTAAGTGTTCAGAGTAGTATTAAAGCTTTAGCAGCATGATGAGAAAGGAAGAAAAATGGTACTGTGCAGTTAAAGGGCAGCAGATGCTGATTGTTTTGGCTCCACAATTTTTAAACACATTTAACATTTTAGCATTACACAGATGACCATGTAGCTTCCATTTCTGGCCCTGAATCCAAATGTCATGTTCCATGTGAATACAGGATGACTCCAGGAGTTAGTGACATATTCAGATACTAAAGTATTGAGGCTGGGAGCATGTGTGAACACAGAACTAAAATGTTGATAAGAGTAATGCTATTTATTAAACAGTTTGTCCTGAACTGAAGACTGTGCAGTCTTTAATCTTTGAGACCAGAACTGTGTGGTATTTGATCCTTGAAACAACAAGCCTCTACTGTTCTTAACCACAGGATGAGCTCTTCTACTTATCAACTGCTCTGCAAGCCAATTATTGGAGAGCAACCTCATTGTTTTCAAACTAGAGGGGCCAGTAGAGCTTACTTGGATTCATGCACATCTGTACACTTGTGGAACTACTCATCTAAATAACCATAAGACTTAATTAATAAGGCTACTACTATAGCTGGTAAAAGAACAATTCCCCTTCTGTGTTATGGAAGAAGTTAATTCAATGTATTTCTTGCAAAATGATGCCTCTAGCCCTTTGTTGTAATTCTGAACATCTCTCTTAAAGTGCCTTTAAATGGCAGTGGTGCTTTGGACCTGGTAGTCAAACACAGAGATGACATTTATTTCTATTTTATGTGATACACAGCAGAGAAGTGACCATTAGCTCTCTGGGAGCTGGTGGCAAGCTAGGTATTAAGTAATGACTTCTAAAGCAATAGGAGTGACAAACAAGAAAAAAGAATTGCTGTCAGCTGTTGTGGTGTGCCTGAGTGACCTGAGCAACTTCAAAGTCTTGAGTTAACAGATGGTAGGTTTTAATTAACACTGATCAAAAAGGAGGACTTCTGCTTGGAAAACACTGCCAGGCTTTCTGACGCTCCTGGGAAGAAGTGCTGACCCAGTGCAGCGTGTTCTTTCTTAGTCTTACCAGTGTTTCAGAACTCCAACTGGAATCTGGTTGAGTGACAGTTACCACAAGGCTGGATGCTGGGTACTGGACAAGCTTGTGGTATATATGTGTGATGCTGTTTTGTGGTGCTGTGGTCTTAATTAATGATGTGGTCTGTCTTTTCTAGTTCTTCCTCTTCCTTTTCGTAATTTTTGCCCTTGAAATTGCTGCTGCAATCTGGGGATTTGCAAATAAAGAAAAGGTAGGTTGCTCTTAAAAACTGGCAGGGTGGTGGGATGCTGGAACAAACAGGTTGCCCAGTGAAGCTGTGGATGTCCCATCATGGGAAATGTTCAAAGTCTGGTTGGATGGGGCTTTGAGCAACCTGGTCTAGTTGAAAGATATCCCTGCCCATGGCATGAGAGCTGAACTAGATGATCTTTAAAGGCCCCTTCCTACACAAACCACTCTGTGAGTCTGGCTGCGCTCACAGCAGGCTAGCAGTCTGCCAAAATCTTTACCAGTACTGGTCAAATCCTGATTACCCAGGGAATTTGCAGGAGAGGAAGATGATGCATTCTAGGAAAACAAGACCAGAAATTAAGCTCTAATATTTAAAAATGAGACTGTAGCAGAGAGGTCAGAATCCAAGATGCTGTTGCATGCTAGAGGTGCCCTGCAAGCAGTACCTGGCTGAGCTGTGGAGCAAAGCAGGCCATCAGTGAAGCTTTACCATTTCTGGATATGAGCTGAGTCAGCTACAGGCTGAATGTTTCTGCATCTAAAACATGACTGATCTGGCCTGTCCCCTCACAAGCAGTCAGGATTCTGTCTTGTTTCAAAGTAAGGTGCTTGGTGACCAGGGTTGCTTTTCTGCTTGTATTATACAATAGGGGAATATAGCAACTTCTGGGGTACAGAAATTAATAGGGAATAGTTTTGTAACTGGTGGGCAAAGACTTGATTCTCTTACTCCTAGAAGCTCAGAGCTTTGGCAGGGAAACTGAATCTTATCTGTTTAGGTGTGGCTTTTAAGGTGAGTGTACCAGTTAGGCTCACCTGTTCTGGGTAAAAAATGCTGTCCGCCCTCTTTCTACATATCAGAAGGAAGGATATTGTACGTTACAGAATTATTGACTGACTTACTATATGGAAAACAAGTTTTCCATATAGTAAAACAGGAATACACCACAACTCTCTGCTATCCTGTAGGTTATTGAAGAGTTAAAGGACTTCTACATGGAAACATATGGAAAGAGATCTCAAGCAGCTGCCAGAGAGACCCTGAAGGCATTTCAGTTAGCTGTAAGTATGTGGTTATACTTAAACTAGACAGTAATGCAGCTTGTTCACTGTTCTGCATCTCATCTAGTCCCTTGTACAAGTCTAGTACCTTACTAACTAGAAGAAACCAAAGTAGTATTAGTAACAAACTGCAGAGAAGATCTTTCTGTATAGTATCACTGAATTCAGTATGCTTTTTGTAACTCTGAAGTGCATAGAACTAGTTCTTGTTTTCCTAAAGAAACTCGGAAGCAAGCTGGGAAACTCCAGATCTGTGGTATTGATCTTGAGGCACCATAGTATGCATGCCTGCATGTCTGTGAGGAGTTCATCTTTGTGTCTGTAAGGAGTACAAGCTATCACCAAAATGAATGTGTGTATATACTTAATGAGATCTAGCTCTTCCTTTCAGAATCTTGTCTTTTAATGCAATAAAGGCTTTTTAAAATTGTGTATATAGCAGTCACATTGTCAGGACTTCTAAGCAAACTTGCATAAGGTCTGTAATAAAACCTAATGTAATCTATTCCTCCTTTTTACCAAATACTGAGCAAAAATAAGGATTATTTAACCTGGTTTTCTTTTCCTGTTTTGTCTTGTAGCTAGACTGCTGTGGTCTTACAGGCGTTCTTGAGCAGCAATTCATGGACACCTGTCCGAAGAAGACCATGCTCGAGTCACTTTCTACCGTGGTAAAGCATGAATTAATTCACCAACAGCTCTGCCCAATGAGTAGAATGAGGAACATGTTTCTGAATAAACCCTTCCAGTCCATGGGAAGCTCCCATGTCACACTTACTTAGCAACCTATCTCTATAATCAGTCCGGTTGTGGAAAATCAACATACTCTTACTGTAGAAAGAACAAGCAGGGTCAGCAGAAAATCTGAACTTGCACAGGAAATGTGCAGTCTCTGTGTCACTAGACTCACTGGTTTGTTGGACAGTAAAGCCTAAACTTCACCTAAAAAAATATGCTAGAGAGCTCTGTTCTCCTGGCTGCTCCTGTTGCCAGAGTGCCTTCCTGGTGCTGTGTGGGAGCTGTCACCTCCCCTCGTGGTTAGGGAGAAGTAGAGCAGGAGGCGGGAGCAGGTCTGAAGTTTTAGCAAGGTAAAGGAGAGGGGTGTAATGCATTGGTGGCCTGTTTGAGTATGTCACTGTGAAGCCAATTCTCTGAATAGGATTCCCCTGTTGAAATATTGCTGAGAAGCATCTTGTATAGTTCTTAACTACCCGTTTTCCTCTTACAACTGTCCTGTCTTGCTTCATGCCCCAAGACAGCTTGTATGAGTCTTCCCATAGAAAATAAGGTTCTTATGATGCAGGAATTCAATTAGTAACTTGATTTTTTCATGTTATTTGTGCTCTTACTTTCACTAGAGATAATTTTTGTGCCTTCAAATATCTCACCACGTGAGATTTCAGTCTGTATTTAGATTGTATCTTTAGTCATGCCCATACAATCTGCTACGAGTTAGACTATGTGTGAGTAGCTGAGACAGCAAGTAGGTTTTCTTGTTTGCTTTTATTCTGCTAAGTGTGTTCTAGCTTCATCTGTTGACTTCATCTTGTGATGTGTTTATGGCCTAGTCCCAGCTGTGGAAAAACAGTAGATAGACTGTAAGATTAAAGGGATGTAATGCTGTGGCTAATCTGTGTGCCTCTAAGAAGCAGTGCTGTACTGATATTCTGATTTAACTGACTAATTCTTGCCGGTATATCCCTTTAGTCTTTGATTCAGTCTTTCCTTCTGGACTGGATAAGGAACAACTAAAGGAAAAGTAGTTTTCAGCAGCTCACTGTAGTCTGCTGCTGGAATGACAGGAGTTGGGATGAGACTTTGACCAGCTACCTGTCTCAAAGATTTTTACCTCTGTAAAAGTTCCTTGTCCTTTCTCTTAGCTACCATGTGACTTTGAAGAAAGGACTGTACTTAAATTTTTCTTGAGTTGCAGTGGTAATTCATTGTCCTGGGAGCTTCAAACTGGCACCTCTATAGCCTAGCATGTATGCATGCAGCTCAGGAGATCCTGCCATTCCCATGCATCATGTGTTCCTAAGGTGTCTGCAAAATTACAATAGCAGCTGGAAATATTAAGATGGGCTTTAAATCTATTTTGAGAAGGGCTGAGCAGTATGGTAACTTAAATGCTGATAGCCATTAGTAACAAGCCAAGTCTGGTACAACTACTGTTAGTCCTGATCTACCTGATCTACCTCAACAACTGCAGGTGTTGAGAAGGGGATCCTGCTGTAGCCAAGATGCAATTAAGAGGTTTAGATACTTGAAGAGTATATTTAAACTTCTCCACCAACTTTTGTGTTGGAACATCCCTGGCTTTCTTTGGAGATGTGAAAATAAAGGCCTGTTCAAAGCAGCTTTCAAAAGATGAGTCTTCGTCTCTAGTGCAAGCAGACTTGGTCAGAGGTGTAGCATCAATTGGCAGACTTGAGCTCAAACAAGCAAGCAGAAACAAACCTTTTGTATGTATGAAATGCTAATGAACAGTTGGTTTCTTTTCAGTCATGCCCTGCTGCCATTGATGATGTCTTCAATTCAAAATTGAATGTGATTGGAGCAGTTGGCCTTGGCATTGCTGTAATAATGGTGAGTTTCCAGGTTATTTAGAAGGTAGCTGTATGGCCAAAGGATAGTTACAGAAGTCTGAACAGTGCCTGTCATATCAGTCTACAGTCTTATTCTACTAACAAGTACTAGCAGGATCAGGGTGTGTGCTGTGGGGCCCTGAGGCAGTGCAGAGGGTGGGGTGTCTTGGACGCCCGTGTTTCTGCTTTGGAATAAGATCTGCCTTCTTGTAGCTTTAGCAGGGGTGAAGCTGTATCAGTAGTGTGTGTGTATATATATGGCAAAGATGTATTGGTCATATTGCCAGCCCATTTCTTAATTCTAATACCTTTTGGCAATCCTTGCTTTTATTTCCTTTATAACAACTAAAAACTCTGCTAGAGAACTGAAATAACTGCTAGTAAGAAAACTTGCACTTTCTTGTTTGATTTCTCTAGAGGAAAGTATGACTTGGATGCAGATGAGCTGGGATGATCAAAGATTTCTTAGGAGATATGGCAGTGGCTTATAGTTGACCTATTTTGAAGTATTGAGGGCAGTGGGGATTCATGAGAATGGACTGAAGTTTGGGGGTGGTGGGGAGGGGCAGACACATGAACTGCAGAATAAAGTGTTAATGTGGCCTGTGAGCTGGTAAGAGCAGCCCTGCTTGTCCCCATGTTGATAGAAGAATGTGCTTTGGTCCCCTGATTTCTAACGTACTTGCTTTCTTTACAGATTTTCGGCATGATATTCAGTATGGTTCTCTGCTGTGCTATCCGCAAAAACAGAGAAATGGTTTAAGAGCTCAAAACCCAAGACTGCTGCACTATAAAATCTTTGTCATTAACTTTAGCGTTCTGAAAGCATTTCTAAAAAGTTATATATTTGTTACCTTTTTAATGCTTTATTTGGTACTGATGTAGGTTTGCTTTTCATGTTGTAGGTTAATGATAAAAGTATATCTGACTCAAGACAAATATTGTACATAAAATATCTGACTTTCTTGAAACTTAAGTAATTTGGATGTAATTTATGTTGGAGACAATTTGATACTTAATAAAGAGTAAGATGTATTGTATGTTTGTGGGGGAGAAGAGATTTTACTGGGCTTATTAATCATACTATTTTATGCATAGCGTCAAATTGAACTTGTATAACATGTTAAATTACTAGGGCATTAGTATAAAGCAGGAAATAACCTCTCTGCCAATGCCATATTTGAAGGTAATTCCAAGGAATGGAAAAAACTGTCAGAGCACATTAGGGAAGATAGTGTCATTCCTCCTTTCCTCAGTGCGTGTGAATGAAAGCAGTTCTTAATTTTATTCCTAAAACGTTGCTGCTGTAACACTTCTATTCTCATCTTCATACAGGGTGGCAAAGGATGACTGTCATACTGGTGAAATGCAGGTGGTGGTCCTTGGATTCAACCAGGATGGGCTCTACCCTGGAGCCAGCTGGGCCTTCTTATATCAGCCTGTCTGCTGACATAACTCTGTCCCCTGGCATCTGACATGGCTTTGGTCCCTTGACAAGGCGAATTCCCATAGTGTATGCTCAGGATTTTTCTTTGTGGCTGGCTTTGTACTTTGTGCTTTGTTTCTCCAAAGCCAGCAATCTCAAGGGCTTACAGCATGTGTGCCAAATCTCAGGTTTCCAAGTGGAAAAAAGAAAAGTTGCATGAGAAGTTATTATATAGCTCTGCAGTTGGTGCTTGCAGCAGCAGCTAGAGCTGTGGCTATGCTGTTTCAGTTTAAAAATGGATGTGGGAGGGATCAGAGATCAGTGTAGAACCCTTAGCCTAAAAAAAAAATTACTAATTTGTCCTGTACTTCTAGTCTAAATGGCTTTTGAAGTATTTTTCTCTAAAACTTTTTGTTGGGCCTGCCTATGGACTTGGATCCTTAACAGCAAGTTGATGTCTATATTGTGTTGTCTGTATCTGGTGTTCTTCTACTGTAGTATCTCAGCTGTGTTCCTAGCAGCTTCTAGGAACTTTGTCAATGACAACTTCTTTGTCATCTAGGTACTACAAATGTCTCTTAGTCCTTGCTTGTTCCCACCTTTCTCTTATAAGGAGGTTAGTACTTACAATGAGAAATACGCAGACTTTTGAGGGTCAGACTCTAGCTGTAGCTCTGGGCTGATGCATGAATGTATTTCCCACCTTTGTGTTACATGTTGTCACTTATCTAAGGGGTTATGCAAACTGCACAGCTCTCCTCTCTAACACATTGCACTATTCTGTGTTAATGGGGCCTTCTTAAAAAAGACTGGATTTCAAAAAAGTCAAATGGTTATCATGCTTTTGTGTGCCTTAGACTGGAATGACTCAAGAAAGGACTTGATCTGATTTTCTTCCTTGGGTATATGAGACACCCTGGAGGGAAAAATCTAATCTTATATGGGAATTTAAGACCTACCATGTCCCTGAGCTCTTGCAGAACTGAGAAGTAGCATTTTTTGTCAGCTGTGCAATTCTGGGCATGAGACTGAACCTGGCACCTGAAAGAGCTGGGATGAATTGCTGTGAACTGTAATGAAAGTTTAGTGCTGACTTACCTGCCCTTGGTTTTATTGCTTTATGTTGGCGCATGTGTTCAGGTTGCCAACATCCAACATGGCTGTAGTTTGACACTAGTGGTGTTTGTTAACACCCAAGAAAATGCTTGGTTGGGTTGTAACTAGGGTGATGAGGCTCAGCACCTCAGCTCATGAGATGGGTTTGGGTGATGACTACAGAGGAAGCTCTGAAACTGGCATCCAGGTCAACTGAATATGTGGAAGACTGAAGTTTATACCTTCCGTTGTTGCTGTCTTCTACAGAAGCTGGATGGGGGTTAGTCTTTACACTGCTGCTGCCTTAACCACAATGTTTACTGCAACACTTCATGCCTCTGCCTTCCCCCTGTATTTTAAGTCCTACAGCCCAATCTTTGGCCCTTCTTTTTGAACATCCTATGTGTGTAGGTTGGTGTCTTCTGAGTAATCAATAGATGGGTAAGTCTTTTTACCAGAGAAGAAAGAGCTGCTGTTTATTACCTGACTATTACTTACCTTTTAGCAAGAAAAATATGAACTACAAATGTAAAACCTAGTTGCAGTCATCCGAAGATCTGCAAGCTAGCCTGGAATACACACTTCTCAGTAAAGAATATTGATGAATTGCAGGATGAGAGGTTTTACAAGTAGCAGCTATGACCAAATTTCCTGAAGAATTTGGTGCTATGCAATGGCAGCCCTAGAAGTCTGTGTTTGTAGCACTAACTGTCCAAGCAAGGAGCGAGTTCCCATCTTTAAGTTTGGTCAGGATTGTCTTGAGGAAGGTGGAGCAGAATGTGATTTGTGAAGTAATATGTAGAGGCTCAGGTGTGCAAAAGGGATAATAGGTTTTTC